TTAAAAATATCAGTAAAGATTAGTTATTAAGAAAAAGACACTCCATCCAGCAGCTGCTTTTTTTTCCCTTCCAGATTTTCTCCTTGGTGTAGGATTAGGTGGCAATGAGTATGATGAACACTGAAAATTGAGTTCTCTAATAGCATGATCCAGCTGCAAGCCAAATGTTACACAAAGGCCCTGGCAAGACAGGAGGAAAGAGAGAGCATAAAAGACTTTGTGCTGCAGTAGTCTCTACCCTCAGAGTGCTTCACAGCTGTGACTGGAGTTGCTGATCTCAGAAAGGCAAAGCTACTTTTATGCCCATTTTCAGAGGCCAGGAGACAGAGCATCTTGCTCACAAGAAGGACTTAGAGTTGCATCTTGTCTCCCAGTTACTCAGTGAACTGCTGGGGACAGGTTCTGCTCAACAGGTCACAGAGAAGGAGATTGCTTCTGGGGTTACCCCCTCTGGAAATGCACCTGCACACTTGCCTACAAGTGGGGACCACCCTGGACAACGTTGGGCCAGCAGTACCGTGGGCTTCATAACATCCATTGTGGTTTAATCCCAGCTGGCAACTCAGCCCCACACAGCTGCTCTCTCCCCCACAGTGGGATGAGGGAGGGAATCAGAAAAGTGATAAAACTCACTGGTTCAGATAAAGGTGAAGCAAAAGCCAAGCAGGCAAGCAAAGCAAAGCAAGGCATTCATTCACCACTTCCCATGGCAGGCAGGTGCTCAGCCATCCCCAGGGCTCTGTAACACATAGCAGTGATTTGGGGAGACCCAAATGCCACCCCTCCAAACCTCTCCCCCTGTCCTCCTTCTCCCCCAGTTTTATATGCTCAGCTTGAAGCCAGATAGTCTGGGATAGTTGGAGTTCAGTTGGAGTCACCTGTCTGGGCTGTGCCCCCGTGCAAGTGCTGCTCAGCAGTAACAAAAACATCCCCACCCCGTCTCCAGCACAAATCCAAAATAACAGCCCCACACCAGCTACTGTGAAGAAGATTAACTCTCACCACGGCACAAAAGGACAGCATCAAATATTTAGTTCCTATGGTAGCTGAATTGAGTATAAATGCCACCTTTTGGAGGCATCTCTTTTCTTTAATTCAGCTGTCAGCACGTTCTGCAGCGTGTTTGTGGGATGGTGTCTTGTGCTGCTGTTTGTAGTAGAGGTTGGAGGCTCCTGTAATGCAGCAATCCTTGGAAAAAAGGCTTGATACTGTGCTTGTTAAGCATTGGAGAAATAGTGGTTTGTAGTCACATACTTATCTTAAACAAATAGAGCTGCTGGTGCAGTGCACCTGCCTCTCATTCTGGACCATCCACAAAACTGGACAATAAGCAGATTTTTAGATTATCAGAATCTCTGCTTTTCGTTGTGCAGAAACTGATACCAAATCCTGTCACACACAATACATTTGTGTGAAATGATAAAAGGCTGTGATAGTACCTGCACTGTTTCTACCTATGGCACATGAAAGGCTTTACAAAAAGTTGAGAAAATCATATTTGGGCCCATATTTACGTGGAAAATAAACTTTGACTTAGGAAAGGCCTTGGTCTAGTGTTGAAGGTGTCAACTTACTTTTCCAAATCTCAGTTCTGCTATTTGCACAGGATTTGCACAGTTAATTTCCTTAACTTTATGAAGAAATCTGAAATGATGGACGATAACAAAAGTTCCACAATATTGTTGGGGTTTCAGACTACTTCACACCTAGAAGGGCTGTAACTAAGCTTTTTCATGTTCTTGTATTTCATGTGCATTGATTTAGCACTATGAATCCTGGACAGCCTTCCATGAGTTGAACATTCAGTGGTTTAGTTTAGTAAATGAATTTGATGATTTAATCTAACAACACTTAGAAGGAAAGTTACCCCAAAGCAATCTATTCTTTAGCCAGCACACTGATGGCTTCGTTGAGTTCTTCATTATAGTTCATAATTCCAGTGTTTCTACGAACTGGAAGTTTTGGATTTTTCCAGCTTGCACTGCTGGAGATTTAAGCAGCAATATTTACTGATTTTTAAATCTGTGGTTAGTTAGTTGAACTAATACAAATTAGTAAAAGCTTACAGTGGTGAGTGCTTGGCCTCACCTTTAATAAAGACAGCATCTGGTGGTTTGTGACATCAGGGAGAGTCTCTTTCTGTGGTAGGTTTAAATTTCCTGTGGGCCATTTTCAGTGAGGTTGGGACTGACTTGATTGGAAAATTTAATGGCTTTTTCCATTTCCATTCCCTTTTGCCAATCTGCTCTTTAAAGCTGCTCTTTCATGATGTGTGAATTTCTCTCCATTTGAAGAACTAACATCAGATACAACTGAGAAAGCAGATTTTAGAAATGAGCCATTAGGCAGAGAAGAGGCACTTTTAAGATGCTTGCAAGTTGCACAGCAACCAGAGGAACATACAGTCATTTGATTTCTCAAATGACTTTGACTTTGACTCAAGGGAAAAACAGTTTTGTTCTCCCCTTAGAGCTTTCTATCATATGTGATAAAGGGAAAATGTGTTTATAACATTTTCTTCCAAAAAAAAAAAAAAAAAAAAGGAAAAAGAAAAAAGGGTTGTGCCTCATGGCAGAGAAGCAGCAGTTGTAAATTGTAAATCAGTGCAGAACATATCCAGTAACAGCTCCTGTTTGGGATCTTAAATGAGAAGATAAAGCAGTGTAACCTTCTGTTTCTTCTGGGTTTTAAACATAAAGCACTGACCCTTGTAAAATCAGAGATTAAAACCCAGCCAAGCAGCCATCAGTGCTTGATGTTTTTCTGGTTTCTGTAGAACTGTTTCTTTAACCTGCCCAGAGAAGCTGTGGCTGCCCCAGCCCTGGAAGTGTCCAAGGCCAGGTTGGACAGGGCTTGGAGTGACCTGGTCTAGTGGAAAATGTCCCTGCCCATGGCAGGGGGTGGGACTGGATGGGCTTTGATTTTATAATCACTGTCCCCAGGTGTGGAAATGCTACAATAACATTTTCTGATCATTATTTGGCTTTTTCTGAAGACCCTGTCAGCTGTTGCCCACTTTCTGCTGCATGCACGTGCAGGTGGATTCCAAATCACATCTCTTCTGATACTCTCTTCCAAAGCCCTCTGGGACAGAGTGTCATACTTGTTGTATGCTAGATGCAGAAGTCATCAGAAGTTTATTGTTGTAATGACACATAAAAATCCAGCTTCATGAATGCCAGATAGTCCTCCTGGAGATCTTATTTTCAATGCTAATTTGGGTCATTCTGCATATTTGAACTACCTGGTCCAAAAGTGGTCTGTTTCTGATATAAACATCTTGTTATAATATATAAAATAAATTAACAAAATTAGAAGTACTTATAGAAGTGAATGACTTCATCACACTGAGCAACTAATTTTTCCTTTTGCTTGACCTTGGTTTGGTCATTTTGAACATGGTGGTGACAGTGCTCTGTGGTGAACGAATATTGAAAAAATGTGAGTGTGTGCTAAAGCTTTTATTAAAATAATGCCTTTTTCACTCTGTTCTCCTGGTGACTGAGAGCTACAGGATATCTGGGTATCTTTGGACACGACAAGAAGAGCCTTGCACCTGTCCCATAAATGCACATGGATGGATGAGTCACTGAGGGCAGTAGTAAAATATATGTTATATGTGCTTCTTCCAGAGGCAAAAAACCATACCAGTGTTGGGTGGCAAAACAGAAAGAGTCTTGGATTCAGTAGCCCTTTGCCAGCACAACATATTCTTTCACAGAGCTGGTTCAAATTGTAGTGTTGAAAGAGTGTTTTGCCTGATATAAAATATTCCCAGCGGGCAGTGAGGTGTTATGGCAGGACATCCCTCCAGAGATCCCTTTCAAATGCAGATGAGCCAAATTCACACAGAATCACAGAGTCCAGCTCTTTAAGTGAGAGGTCCATGTGGGGATCAGGCCCACAACCTGGGTGTTATCAGGACCGTGCTCTGAGCAGCTGAGCTAATCTCAAATGTAGTAAACTGAGAAAACTGAGTTTAGCTGGTCAGAAATATAACTTCACTAAGGCGGAGTAGAAATCAAATACGTAAAGAAAAACACAGTTGTCTTGGTCTTGCAGACATCTCCAGTTATCTCTGGGTCTGAAAAGCTTTGAAAACCACGGGGCTGTCCAGGTATAATTAGGAATATAAAGTCTTCTGGCACAGAGCAGAAATATCACGGCTTGAGTTTGAAATCCCAGAGGCTGTTGGGTGTTAGAACAGTCTGAAGTCATTGCAAGCTGAGCGTGTCTGGTGTGGGCTCACTGAGATGCAGTAAATCCCCATCACAACGCTGTTTATTTACAGAGGGAAAGTAAACTGTCGAGTGTCACTTCTGGTGCTGCCATCAAAGGTCTCTTTTGGCCCCTGCTTTAATCTCCTACATTTTACAACTGCTCCCTTCCTGAAGAGCAGGGCACGATTACAAGTGTGCTGTGCTGCCTCCCAGCAGGTGTCACCTGGCTGCACCTGACAGGCTGTCCTCCTGCCCAGCCCACACACACACATATTGTGACCTCCTTGCACAGAGCCACGCAATTCTGGAGACATTCTCTCCCTCACACACACACACACCCCCCCTCGGAGGCTTGCACCTTTTCCCTCCTGTCTCATCGTTTTAGTCGCTTCTGAAAGATGCTGACAGCGCTTTGTTCGAGGCAGTGGAGACCTGAAACGTTCTGAAAAGAGACGTGCTCAAGCACGTGGGAAGAGGAACAGCTTGTAGTAGTTTTCACTGTGTCACTTTTGCACGAGGTTTTTGTGATCTACAGAAGGATGCTTCAAACATAAAAATAATACTTCTTCTGCGAGAAGAAATCTTAAAAATCTTACACGGAAAAACAAGAGCAAAATCTGCCTCCTTTCTTCCTTCTGTCTCCAAAATACGCTTTTCCACCCCATAGCTGGCCCTGAACGTGTTATGAGGGTTTGTGTGGGCTCTAGCACATGTGTGATGGGGCGTGCACACGAAGCACCAATCAGTAATAGTCTTTCTCTCTTTTTTTTTCCTCCTCAGTTTGTCGCTCAGCCAAACTGCCAGCAGCTACTAGCAACACTCTGGTACGATGGTTTTCCAGGATGGAGGCGGAAACACTGGGCAGTCAAACTCCTGACCTGTGTGACCATCGGACTGCTGTTTCCCATGCTGTCCGTGGCGTACCTGATTGCACCGAAGAGCAGGCTGGGACTGTTCATTAAAAAGCCATTTATAAAGTTTATCTGCCACACCGGCTCTTACCTGACCTTCCTCTTCATGCTCCTGCTGGCGTCGCAGCACATCGTCAGGACTGACCTTCACATGCAGGGACCCCCTCCCACCATCGTGGAGTGGCTGATCCTGCCCTGGGTTCTAGGTAAATGGAAAAAGCTGAGCCGCGGTTGCCTGACTCGCACCCACGGCGACCGTGTGGGGACTCATTCCTGCTCCCAGCATCAGCAGCATGGGAAGAGATTTGGCAGCCAGCTCCAGAAACTGTGCACAACAGCTGGGCTCCTTCTGGAACAGCAGATCCTGCTGGCCTAGGGCTCTTCTGCTGCTCTGTGGCCATCTGACTTTCCTTTAGACATGACCCTGAATAAACCGTGGCAGATGCAGCTCTCCCCCTGCCTCCCCCGTGCTCTGTGCAAGGAGTGGGTTGGGAATTAGGAACAGTGTCACCCCTCCTGCTGGTTCAGGGCTGCTGGCTGGTGCAGAGCAGCAGGCAGTGCCCAGAGCCTGTCTCTGCTCCCTGGCTGGCTCCCCCAGGCAGTGTGCAGGTACCAGCCCAGTTTATTCCTGGGCTCCCAGCCTCCTAAATGACCGACAGGAAGGCAAAAAAGGGGAAGATAAATCTCAGTCTGTGCTGATAATCACTGACCAAATCAACATCAAATGCTCTAATGGAAGCAGGAGAAGGAGGGAGCCCTGATTATCAGAAGGTTGAACGTGAGGCTCTTATTCCAGTCTGGCTTGGGCAGCCACAACTGGGAAGTGTTTGTGTCCTGAGGGCAGGATGAGGTGTGTGAGATGGAGATGAGATGGGAGAAGAGCAGACAAGCATAGTTTGATCTAGTTTTGATCAGAGTATTTACCCTTCCAAACTAAGTTCTAACACAAAAGCAAGTGGAAAGCTGTGGGCTCCAGCAGGAGCACAATCTCTCCTCTGATTCAGTGCCCACCCCCCTTGCTGTGCCATGAGCATGTGGCACCACTGTGAGCTGCTCGGTGCTGGAGTTCCCACTCCAGGACTTCCCATGGCTCCTGGGAGCTGCCAGAGCCTCAGTTCTCCACTGACATTCAGTGACATGGGCAATCACTGGGCAATGGTTTCCACACCTTTATAGCTCTCCTCCAGCCTCTCCTGTTCCCTGTGCCAGACCTGATGCAAAACAAGGAAGGAAAGTGGGATGTTCACAGATCCCTTTGGATCGTGACCCAGGCACAGCTCTGCCAGCAGCCTCGTTATCTGATCAGACTGATTTATGGCATCTGAATGCAGGTGTTGGTAGAAACTTCAGAGTGGGCTTACCTGAGCTTAGGTGATCTCTTCGCTTTGAATTTGTGGGTAAAGTTGAGGGAAATGGCAGGCATTTCAACAAAACTGATTTGCAAATGAAAGAAGGATAATCTGTTAGAAAAAAAGCACCTCTTAAACCTGCCTCCTCTTCTTGAGTTCCTTTGTTTCAGATAAATACAGATATTGTAGGACTGTTTGTTAAATGGAGAAATGAGAACAGTTTCACCAGATTGAAAGTTAGTATTTATGAAATATTTTCCACTATAAAAGGAGAGAGAACAGACACAGACAGCATTGCTGTAACTATAGTAACCAGCAATGATAACTCACTATAAATACAGTGTATGAGTTCTTCAACAGGATCCTCTTCATTGATTTATTTTATTTTACTGTTTTGTGTTCATTCAAAGACATGGAGGCAGCTGTAACAAGATTACCTTGTTGGCCTTGACATTATGCTTGTGTGACTGTTGACCTGCTGGCTGCCATCTGAACAGCTCAGATTGATATTGGGCTGTGTGCAGCAGCTCATTTCAACTTTACCTGCTCTTAGCTTGAACTTTCAGCTCCTGAAAGTTGAGTTGCAAGTAGCATATCAGTGACCACTGCAGTATCTTGTGGTTAGGTAGGGGCAGCAGTTTGAGAAACTATATTAGTAATGTACCTGGAGGTGTATTTTGGGGGGATTTTGTGTTTGGTTGGGTTTTTTGGTGTATTTTTTGTTTGGTTGGTTGGTTGGTTTGGGGTTTGTGTTGGTTTTTGTTTGGTTTTTTTGGGGTTTTGGTTTTTGTTGTTTGTTTTTTCAGGTCTTCATTCAAGGGTAATATTGGAAACTGGGTAATTCAAAAATACCTGGGGCTCTAAAGACATTCTCAGAAGTGTGTAGGGGTTGAAGGAGCATAGTTGCCATTTGCTTTTTAATGGAACTTAGCCTTTCAAAAATACTTAAACAGATCTACAATAAAGGCCATGCAAGTTACTTAAGATCAGAACTGTGTGCCAGGTGAGTTCAGCAGTCTGGTAATGAGCTTCAGAAACCTCCCCTCACTCCCCCAGCTGCAAGGAGGTGCAGTGAGCACCAGCAAGTGCCAGAAATGATTACCAGGAGGCATTTCAGGGTTGAGATGATGGGCTCTGGCTGTATCCCTGGGAACAAACACTCACCTCCCAGGACCCCCAGCCACATCTGACATGAGGTGAGTCACTGCAGTGCCAGGCTGCAGTGCCCTTTGGCATGCTGAGTCTTACCTTTTCCCACGAATAATCCCTGTGGGGCTTTTTGTTCAGCGAGAGGCATAAATGCAGTGGCTGAGCAGAGAGAGTGGATTCACATCTTCCTTCTTTGGGGTGATATTTCCAGGTCAGGGAGGAACTGCACTTGCAGGTGGAAGCTGGTGCTGCTGTTGCTAGAGAAGGTCAGGACAAACTGCCTAAGAGAGGGCTGAATTGCTTAGAGTGTCTGTGAGACAGTCTATTAGAAACAGCACCTGATAGAGTTGCTAAAATAGCTCGTTCAGATAGAGCAAATTTCAGCTGAGCCAATCCACTCATTCTGGTTATAATAAACATATTTCAAGCAGTCTCCTCGTGTGTGTATCTGGAGCTCTGGATGGGAAACCAAAGCCTTTTTCATCTTTCTTTAGGCTGCGTTCCCCACAGACTTGTGAAATGTCTCACAATCAGCAGCACTATACTTTGTAGGAGGCAGAAGGGATGAGACATTTTTTCCAGGCTGTTGCTTTCCAGTTGTCTGGCAGTCCATCAGGTGTACACGGTGCTTTAATGGGAAATACTGCCTTGTCATGACAGTGAATTCTCTGCCTTTCTTTCTACAGGTTTTATCTGGGGAGAAATCAAGGAAATGTGGGATGGTGGATTCAATGAGTACGTGCACGACTGGTGGAATCTGATGGATTTTGCAATGAACTCCCTTTATCTCGCAACCATCTCCCTTAAAATTGTCGCCTATGTCAAGGTACGGTAATTTGGAAGAGAGAGCTTGTAGCATGCTTGTGAGAACTGTGGTGTGCAGGGTAAAAACTGTACAAATCAAAATTACAGCTCAAAGGAAATAGCTGCTTTTCAAGCAGTTCAGTTTTGAAAATTCACCTGGAAAGCGTATTAATTTGATTGGAGAATGAATGTCCTGCTCATCCTGACTCTGATTAAGGAGATTGTTTGGGCATTGGGTAGAAATTTCCCCACTTTCTGTCCCTTTTGTAGCTACTTAACAGCCAAAGCTGTTTGTGTTCCATGCTGACACTGGGCCTCTTTCAACAGTGTTAGACATAGTGAAAACATGATTTTTAAATTAAATGGAAAACCAAGAATAGGGTTATCTGAAGGCAAGATTTATAACCTGTAGTCCTCCAGATCTGTAGATTACTAATCAGAAGTTTGTGAAAGGTCTACTGAGAAAAGCAAGACGTTTAGTAGCAGGCTTCCATCTGATATAAAGGAGTCAACTTACTCTTCAATACGTGAATTATTGGCAGGGAAATGAGAAAGGAACAAGCTGGGGCTTTAACATCCCGCAGATTCTTCTCTGTCATGTTCCATTTGTGCTGGCAGTGCAAATCAGAGCTCATCCTCAAAAGCACCTTCCACATTTATAAACTTTTGATGCTCCAAATTAGCATATGCACGTGGTTTGGAGCCAGAGGATGGCCTGAAGCACTTCCCTTCTGTCTCCCCTTTTCAAACAGGAGGCACAAATGGCATCCTGTAAAATTCCTTATGCAGTAGCTCCCTTTGGCTTCAGCTGAGCTTCGTGCTTGGCCTGATTCTTTCCTTGGTGTGAATCAGCAGGAGCTTCACTGCAGTCAGAGTAATTACTCAGGTGTAAATCAAGTAACTGGAATCTGCTCCTTGGCTTCTCCTGCCCTTTCTAGTTTTGCTGTGCTACTGTGCTGGTTTTGTCCTGCTAGAAGGGCACTACTTCTTGTGGCCCAGCTCCTGGGAATCAGGCCAAGCAGCCTTGTTTAGTCCTGCCCAGCAGGTTTGCAGGCAGAGAGGGGAAGAGGAGAACATTTCATAAAGCCCATTGACTCCAAAGTGCAGACAGAGCCCTGCTATGGGGCCTTTGTAAAATCCTGAAGGTTGTGTCCTGGTGAGTCATATTTTCAAAGGGAAAAGCTTTAAGCTGGTGCTGCTCCCTGAAGAGGCAGCTCTGTAACAGCATCAAAGCAGGAGCAGATTACGTCTTTCATTCCCCCAACTTACTTCTTTTATTCAGAACCAGTGAGGAAATTACAGGCTTGAAAGGTTGATCTTTAAACTGCAAACGAAACAAAACAAACAAACAAAAAAAAAAAGCTGGAAATTGTAAGATTCAGGAACAAATCTTAAAATGTTAACAGTCTTGTTCTTTCTCACACACAAATTACTAGAGGAGCTGTGTATCCTTGGATTTATACAGTCACATAATAAGGTTTAAACCCACAGCCAAACCACAGGTACAAAGGATATGCAGCTTTGTTTGTGTACTCTGTAAGAGCTACAGAAACCTGCAGGTTAACTACAAAGAGCCAAATGGCAGCACACAAAAGGAGGTTTGCAGGAACGTGTCTGTTTGAGTAGAGGTCAGACCCTCTTGGATTAAACCTGGCTGATCTCAGGTCAGCACCTGATGAGGACCAATCCTGAGAGGTGCATAAAATCTGCTACAGGACCAGTTCTGAAGGAGATGGTCACAGAAGTTCCCTTCTGACCTGTGTCACTGAGGGGTTGCAGAATGCTCTGAAACATGAGGATTTATACCTTTGATAATGGCTTCAAAACATTTTGCAATTGTTATTTATAGAACAGCCCTGACATGGAAAAGGTTGGGATGTGCGCCAATATGCCATATTCTAACATTTCTGAGTTCTTCAAAGGATTACATGGACATTTATCTTTCTGCCAAATACCAGAAAAACTAAATTGCATACTGACAATAATGTTTTCTGTCCTTGTTTTTACGTGAAGATGTTTTTTTTTCTTCTTCTTGATTTGTCTGGTTCCAAGACCTGGCTCTAATATTGTCTGATACCAATGAAATCTTCAGGCTAATTATAGGGTAGAAATACCTTCTTAATCAGTTTTCATTTGCTGCATTGAATTATCATGTAATGAGGAATGGTAAATGTAACAGCCTGACATAATTTATTTGTACTATTCTGTGTGCATCTCTGCTGTGTTTCATCTTCTGAGTAGACACTAACCTAGGTAACTCCAGCCTTCCCAGATACCCAGCTTCATTAGATAACCCTGATGGCACAGCAGATTTATCTGTTACCTGTGAGGCCAGGCTGCTCTGAAGAGACCATTTCCCAAGGAAGGATATACCATCAGTTTATAAAGGGCCAAAATACGACCCTAACAAGTTGCTTTAAAATTAGGTGTGAGGTGCAGGAGACCTTTTCACATACACCTTTCTGTGCAGTCTGGGCTAAACCCTAGCAGAGAGCCCCTGGGCTGCTGTGTCCAGCCAGCCTGCAGAAGAGAATTGGGAATAACGCTGCCAATCTGCTGTCCAGGCTTCCTGATCCCGACCATCCACCCCCACTGCTGGATATCCACAAAAAGTCAACGGGTCTGCCTGTTTGTAAACATTTTCAGGCCCATCTTAAATCAAGCTAACAGGCTCGGGCCACCATGCTCATGTAATAAAGAACAGTTTGGAAATGTCAGGAGCAATCCGAGGTCATGCTGAAATGCCTTTGTATCGTGTCTCATCTCCTTCACACAGAGGATTAGTTTGAAATACCAGCTTGCTTTTAGCTGCAGCCTTGGAAAAATTGGGAGCATATATTGAACCTTCGGATTTAAATAGAAAGTCCCTGAAATCCTGACTGTCAGTGTGCTATTGACACTGTTTCCTTTCAAAAGGTACAAAAATTATTTTGGGAGTCCTAAGCACATTGGGTACACCATTAGCTGTGTTATTCTAAGTACATTTTTGCCTGCCTCGTGTTAAATGAGCAGGAAAAAATGTTAAAAGGACAATTATTCCTTGATTTTAAGCGTCTTTGACTGCAGTATCTGGTGCCAGTGTAGTTAAACCAGAGCAGTTACATTTACAGGACCAGCTCTTTTGTGTCACCTTCTCTCATCTGGAGGCACTTTGCTCAGAAAATGCTCCTGCTTTTACAGTTACATTACAAACCCTGTTAATGTTATAGTTGATGCACTCGGTGTTTCAGCTGTAATTAAGACCTCTGCTTTAGCACTCTCCTAAAATGGCCATGACAAATTAACTAATAGGAAAATTAATACGAAGAAAGCATCTCGGTTCTGGGCTGTTGGCACTTTTTTTTTTGAGGTTGCTGGGGAAGGAAAGCATCGAATAAATCATTGCTTGCTTTCTTCCCTTCCTTCTTCGTGCCTCCCATTGCTCCTAGAATGTGCAGTGTTTTGAATGTGCAGTCATATTTAGGAGGAGAAAGAAAAAAAGTAGTAATTGCAAATTTCCATCTGGATCCTGCTGAAATCTGAACCCCTTTAAATGTTGAAAGAGAAGGAGATTAGGTATGAATGAACTCATGGACCTAACAAACCCACATGCAGTGAACTCAGAATTCAGAAAATTTGAAAGAATCTCAAATTTCTAAATTTAGGCTAAGAGCAGCCCCACATCTCACAATCTAGAATGCAGTTTGTAAGAAGGCATCATTAAACCAAAGTCTCTGCCCTGATCAAATCAGCTGCACTCCTGAATCCCAAATGTTTTAGTCTGACAGCAGCTGAGAAATAAAAGTTTAGAAGTGCTTGTTGTGTCACCAGTGCTGGTTAGGATTTACCTGTGAAGGGTTAGTTATTGGCAGGTGTGGCTTTTTGAGTTACCTCTGAGTAATTCCAATATAATTCACTTTTCTTTCTCGTTCTTTCTTTCAGTATAATGGTTCTCGCCCGAGGGAGGAGTGGGAAATGTGGCACCCGACCCTCATTGCAGAGGCCCTCTTTGCAATATCCAACATTTTGAGTTCCTTGCGTCTCATATCCCTTTTTACAGCCAATTCCCACCTGGGGCCCTTGCAGATTTCTCTGGGACGCATGCTGCTAGACATCCTTAAATTCCTTTTTATCTACTGCCTGGTGCTCCTGGCTTTTGCAAACGGACTGAACCAGCTTTATTTTTACTACGAGACCAGTGCCTCGGAGGAGCCCAACAACTGCAAGGGGATCCGATGTGAGAAACAGAACAATGCCTTCTCCACGTAAGATACCCTCTCCTTTCTGGCTTCCCTGTCTTCCACTGTCCCCTGCATTACCTGCTTTTGCCTGGTGTCTGTCACTGCACCGGGAGTGCCTTTATTTTATTCATTTGCAGTGAGACTAAAATCCCAGCAAAGCCCTTTTTGCTGGGAATGCTGGTGCTTTACTGAGCTGTTGGCATGGAAATTGCTGTGAGGACAGCTGGCAGAGCTGAAAGAGAGAGCACATGCTGAAAAATGACATGAATTGTCTTTCTGATGTATTTGTTTTAATTACTAATAGTAGAAATAATTATAATAATCAGCCCCCCCCAATTGTTCTTGCTGCTTGCACAGTACTTAACTCACAATGGGAGGGGAAATAAATAAAGCACAGTCTAGAAAAAGGCCCATGCCCTACAAACAAGCAAAACAAAACTGTTGTCCACCACTTTATGCTAAATTAAATGAGACTTGTCACGATGCCCAATAATTCTCCACCCTCCGTCAGCTGAAGGCTTGGGGTTAAGAAAGGGTTTGGAACATATTTGCACTGTTATCAAAAAAGAGATGACGGCTGAGGCCACGTGACTGTTGGGAGAGGAAAGGCTCCAGCATTGTCCTGTGGGCTCCCTCCTTGAAGAAGTGTGGGATTTTCATGCCTTCAGGAGCATTGTGACAGGTAGACCAGGTGGGTGCCATTTTCCACGGCAGAGCAGGACCACCAAGGGCCTGATTAACTTTCTCGTGAAACCCTTGTGTGTGTGGAGGAAGTGGATGAACCTGCACAGTGCTAATGAGAAACAGAATTAAAGATTTCCATCTTTTTTTTCTGTTTAATTGCTTTGAGTGCCCCAGAAATATGTTGTGCTGCCCAAGCAAAGCAATAGAAGAACAGGTAATTTTCCTTGATCCACGTCCATATGGATGCAGCAGAGGGAAGAGGGTTTGGCAAAGCACAGTGTGTGTTAAGGGGCAACTTCTACTTCAAAAAGGGTCAAACCCGCAAAGTTCAGGACCAAATCCTTTCCCTGGAACTACAGTGAACAGTTGGGCATTCTGCTTTGGACCTGTCACCATTGCAAACCACTTGCTTTACAGATTTTATTGGGTCAGTTTAGTGGAAAACAACAGCAGGATTGGGCTTGAAAAACCAAGCATCCTCAAGTCTGTGAGGTGTAATGCCTTGGGAGCTAGAAATGATACAGAATTAGCAGCAAGTGTGCAGATCAGCTTAAATACAGGCCACAATTTCTCCTACCCTAACATTCATTTAACCCCCCCTGCCAAGGAGAATGCAGAGCAGAAAGGAAATTGAGGGGGCTCAGCCTTTGTGGCAAAGGTTTGTGTAAAACAAAATCGCAGCAGGAGGGGATCCATTAGGAGTGAGGTCTCCTGGCAGGGGACAGAACACTCTGCAGGTACTTTTTGTTTGAGACTTGCTTAAGAAATTTATTCAACGTGCTCTTGAAAGTTTAAATGGTCGTTATTAACACCCCCAGTGCAAGCTAACGTTTGGCTGTGAAGCAAATGCACAGCATGGGCTGAGTGGCTGGGAAGGAGCAGCTTGCAGATGCAAACACTGTCGAGCTGGGGGAAAGCAAACGTGGCTGGAGCCAGTTCAGCCAGAGCTGGTGGTACCCCAAGTTTGCTCATAGTTCATTCCTAATGAAGGAGTAAATGTAAAAAGCTTTCAGCGAGTGCCCTTTGATTCCCACCCCAATAAGCTCTAATTTTGCCAGGGAAGGAAAGAGGATGCCCCTTGTGGGGGCACATCTCGTGTCAAGCTTAATATTTCCTTGTGAGGAAATTTGCTGCATTTCAAACACAGATCATGGAAAAGTAATATCCCTTTGTGACAGCAACAAGAGGAAGTCATGAATAATTGAAGGTTTTCTGCTTTGGCCCTGCCATCCCTCAGGAAGCAGAGTGCCTGCTGCTCAGGCAGGCGATTGGAAAATAAGTTTATAGCTGTGATGCTGGCAGCTGAAGATGGAAGGAGAGAGCGAGGAAGAGGAGGAAGGGGTGGAGGAAGTCACACATTGCTGCCTGCTGTGTCCTCACTTGGGGCCATGCAGTGTGAGCCCCACCTGAAACACGTACTGTAAAAAGAGGTTGTGGATCTGTCCTGTCATTAAACACTGAGGAAAGAGTGACTGAGCCTTACTGCTGTGCAGAGCTGCAGGAACCAGCATGTCTTTTGTCCACATGTAAATATGTTGGCTCCAGTCTGGGCCCGAATTATAGATTACACACATATATATATTTTTATATATATATTAGTTAATACTATGCATCCACAGCAATGCATTGATCACTTCTAGGACTGATTTCACTTTAATGACAGGAACCTCTGTCTCAGGTGAGCCTACAGCCCAGGCAGGACTTCTCCTGCTAAAAGTAAAAATACTATAAATATTTTAAAAGATAGCTAGCACTCCACTATTTTTAGTAGAGAAAAGTTTAGCATTCTTTGGTTAACCCTTACTTTACCACCTCAGTTATTTTATTTTAATTAATGTAACAAACAGCCTGAGGACTTTTGGAAGAAAGAATTTTTGCTTTAAAGAGTCTCTATGATTTTGGCCAGTGAAAAACATAAGATACACATCCACAATGTATAAAGAAACTAAATCCTCATATAAGGCATGGGGGTACCTGTGAACAGGTGCCTGGAAATGCTGGAAGAACAGATTCCTGGTATGTCAAGTAAAGTATCTGAATTTGTAATAATTTGTCTGGTAGTTGCATTTGAAAATACCTGCTGACCTCAGGCCAAAATGGAACCTCTTAAACGGGCATATAAATGTACTTTTGGATGATATAAAATGTCATATTTTGGAAAGCCAAAACAAAGCTGCTCAGATAGACCCATTATTTAGGTTGCTGATTATCCATCTGACGTGCTTGCAAAAGGTCACTTGTCTGTGGCTGAAGCCAGGAGAGACCGGGTATGATCTCATCAGCACAGTGAGATCAGGTCTAGGTCATCCACAGCAGGAAGACTTCAAAAGAAGGAAAAACTCCTGGGCTGAAATAGTGGGATGTCTTTCCTGCTCTGCCCTGCCCTGGGTGGGAGCTGCTGCTCCAACCAGCCAGAGGGACCAGAGTTTCCAGGCAGGTGCACTGAGAGCAGACTGGGTGATAACAGCTGAAGCAATTGCAAGCTCTCAGCCTGTGCGAGAGCAGAAGGTGCGAGTGGATGTGATTTGTCACGTCTCTTACCTCGTGGTGCCTCGTTGTTGGGCACTGTTTAACTGCTGTGGTCATGCTGGAGGTGGGGATAGGTTCCCTGAACATTCATCCTGCAGGCACGTTAATGATGCAGGCAGTGATCAAACAGGAGAGTTTGTAGATAACAGCAGGATCACAGCATGGCAGTTGTAATTAGAGGGAATGTGTTGTGGCTGCTCTTTGCATGTGTTCAGAGTGGGAAGGGGAGCCTTGGGTTCCTTAGGGCAGTTAGGGGCTGGTTGCATCTCACAAGGACACGGACAGGGCTTTGAACAGGTCACAAATGTTGATGTGACACAGCTCCCACATGCATTGGCCGCTGTGGCTGGAGCACAGCCCATCCCCAGGGGGGTTAAATGGTTGTGCTGAGTGGCTGCTCTGTGGTGTCTCCCAATATCTGCGTTCCCTCCCTGAAAACTGCCCGAACAAGGAGTTGTTTTCCATCCCCCAGCACCAGGTAGCCAAGTAAAGGTCTTTTTCCCTTTGCAGACTTTTCGAGACCCTCCAGTCACTCTTCTGGTCTGTGTTTGGTCTGCTGAACCTCTACGTCACCAACGTGAAAGCCAGGCACGAATTCACGGAATTCGTTGGGGCCACTATGTTTGGGACCTACAACGTCATCTCCCTGGTTGTGCTGCTGAACATGCTCATAGCCATGATGAACAACTCCTACCAGCTCATTGCTGTGAGTTATCTCCTTCTGTTTTTCTTTCTTGCTTTTATTTTCCTCCGTGTGCCTCATTTGTTCGACTCGCAGCGCATGTGGACCTTCTGGGATGCTGGAGACTGCTGCCCCCAGTTTTTGACAGCAGGTAGTTGGGATTTCTGCTCACCAGCCTGAATCATGCCTGCGGAGGAGGTTTTGCTCTGTTTGTAACGCTGCTTAGCTGGAAAAGGCTTATGAGCTGTGAAATGCCCCTGTCTCCTCCTGTAGAGTAACTTCACTGACCACCTTGTCATTAGTAGCTGATTTACGCTGTGGTAGAGAGAGAATATAAAGGGAAACCTTCCCACTGCTTCCTGATGCTTCGTTTTAACTTGAGAGGTGGGTGTTATATTCCATTTTTTTTATCCTGTTACTGTTTTCTCAGGTGAAACTCTGTGTGTCAGGAGCCCAGTCCTGCAATTTCTTTCTCCCCAGTCTTCCCACCTGAAATTAGATCGTGTTCATCTGTAACACCAGCCAGTCCTCCTGGCAGCTGACTCTGTTAAACCCATATTCTGAGAGTTCTGAGGAATCTCAGTGCAGGATGGATCTGAGCTGAGGCAGCTCAGGGCTGCCAGTTGGCTGTAGAGGCAGTTTGAAACTTAACTTTCATGTGAATGTTCAAAACTGGTTTCTCTACTGTAATCTCATTCTGTGTTCTCAAAAGCCAGTCCGTACCTTGGTGATTAAATTTGTCAGCAGATTGAAAGCTGAAGCAGCATGGCTCTACATTTTAAGGCTCTTCAGGTCAGAAGCAGCATGTAAGGAAGGGAAATCTTGTGTGAACTTCAGGTAAACCACTTCTTTCCAGTTGCTTTCCAGTTCTGACCCCTAACACGGTAGGTTTGGACATAGTGAGGTGATGAGCTGTTACATCATCTGTGAGCAGAAACAGGAGTTGGGAAAGTCAGATTTGTCCTCATCTGGTCATTTGGAAGTACAGGCAGAGTAAAGCCTTGCTCCTCTGCTTTAGGTGGCTCTTTTTTTTTTTTTTTTAAACTCTAGAAAATGGAGGATAAACCAGGGAAAAAACAGAAACAGCACCAGCTGTCCTGCTGTTTCCATTCTCAAATTCCTGGACAACTCTCTGGGGAAATGTGTGGGTGAGCTCCTATCCTGGCTAAAACACACAGAGCAGAGTATCGAGTTGTGCTTGAACAGGTTCCACAACTGCTGTTGATTATCTGCTGATTCAAGTGGCTCCTAAATTCACTCAAACTGAGCACAGACCCATCAAATCGGTGATACTTTTGGACATCTGATCTTTATCATATTACAGAAAACCCTGGGCTTTCCAGATGAGTAGAAAAGGAGTTTATCACAAAGACATTGCTGCTTAATCAGTCTGTTTCAATGCTTTAAGTGCTTTCTCTTTGTTCAGTGCTACTCCTCACATTCCAGGGAGACTGGAATGAGGAGCAGAAAACAAAGATTCTTTACTTGGCCATTTTCTTCCATTCCCCCTCCTTTATTGTCATCAAATAGGCTTGTCACTAAGACAAAGCCCAAACCCAAGACTGACATTAGAATAGCAGTATGTGCTATTCACTGGGATACAAACCACTCATCACCTGAACAATTCGAGTGACACATTACAAACAACCCCCGGTGAATTAGAGAGAGCCATCATCACAATTAACTGAAGCCACTGGTCCAGAGAGAGGGCTGTTGTATTAATGGCTTTGGATGTGGAGCAGCTGGGAGCAGTGACTCGCTCCATCAGAGTCTGCACCCGAGAGGCCTGTGGACAGAGGGCTGAACTCAGCAGATGGCTGAGGTATAATCACAGTTCAGCCCCTGCTCAGGAGAAGGGTAGCGAAAATGCTGCAGGGTACTTCTTCCTCACTTAGGCTGCCACTCCGCTGTTGCTACCGAGAGCAGTGACGTTTCTTGGGAAGGCAAGGGGCAGTCACTTCCCATCTTTTCCCGTGCGGTGCGTGCAGCTGCGTTTTTGAAGCTGAATTCCTGCGTGCGTTCTCTCTCGGGGACAGATTTTCTTCGTGTGTCTTCTAAGGGCAAACATCAATTAATCTTCTCCCTCAAGAAAGGAAGGCGTTAATAAACGTTGAGCTTCACAAATGTGGATCATTTTTTTAACCTCCTGTGATGACGTTCAGCCCTTTCTGAATCACAGCAGACTGGTTCCTGGACTGGGCATTTGTGCCTCCTGGTACTGATATTACATTGGATGTGCCCAGAGTGGCAGCATTCCAGGGAGGGAGGGGGGAAGAAGCCTTTGGGGTGGGGTGGAGTTCGCCTTCTCCAGTGCATCAGTAGGAAATCTTGTGCCACGTGCAGCACTCTGCAGAGAAATACAACAAGCTAGAGGTGGGGGGTGAGCTGAGAGTGCCTCTCTGCTTGCTGATTTCCCTGCAGTGGAGTGGTGAGGACACCTTCATTAATCCTGCCTGCTAACGAGCCAGTGGCACTGCTGCAGTGCAAACTTTGTCCCCTCCTTTCTTGCAGGGACAAAGACACTCCTGCGTTTGTAGCAGGTGCTCTTCAGGTCAGCTTTGCTCCGTTGGCTCGTGTATAAACGTGAATTTCTGCCGGGAGGTTTGAGATGGGAGAATCTAAGTTGCTCCTCTTTGGCCCTTCGTTGTGCCTCCCCAGAGTGGGGATTTTGGGCTTGGTACTCTATTAGGCACTGCAGGCACAGAGCATGAAGCCACAGGTTATCTGGGGAAGACAGAGAATAAAACCCCTGTGCTTTGAATGATTCCTGGCTCAGAGATGGAAGAATTTTCCTGCCTAATTTTTTTGGGTTTTTTTCCTAAGCTACTTCAGACTTCAATAAATACATATTTATTTCTAGGGGTACCCTAAAGCAGTTTGGATGTCGATTATTCTCACACAGGCAATTTTTCTCTCTTTTGCCAAACGTTGTCAAGAGCTGGTTGTGGCAGACACTGTCATTCATCGACCAGTATTTGGGTTTGGGGAAATCAGGGCGTTGGACACCAGACTCAGGGTGCAGATTTAAACGATGGAGTGATATGTATGGATTAGCACATTTAATGAAGGACAAGTGTGAAAATGAGAAATGTTTTGCATAGCAAAACAAAAGCTGTACAGTAAACAGAAATGGTATGTGCAGCTAAAAATAAGTGAAACCTTGACTGTAAGTGTAGGGATGCTGGACATGGAATTTTCTCGATTTTTGCAGAGTAGAGAGCCTAAAAATTAAGGCACAGAGGCACATAAAGATTTTTCAGCTCCCTATTACATTGTTTCTTAAGTAACTTTGGATTTCCATTATGTAGTATTTTCAAACTTTTCTTCATCTACAAAGCACACAAATTCCTCTGGTTTTCTGCAGCATCATGGCAGTAATTGCTACTCGGTTTAATTCACAATGCCAGCAGAAATCCTCTTTCCCACTGTGATTTTTGACCCTGAGGACTGTCAAAAAAATGTTGCACCTCCTCTGCTTGCACAACCTGCACAGTTATTGCTTGGTGGAAGGTGTCCCTGATGATCCCTAAGGTCCCTTTTAACCCAAACCATTCCATGCTTCTGTGATTTCTGTTATATTTCCCCATGAAGGATGATCCCTGTGAAAAAAACGTTGGACCCCTGCTTTCCAGTTCCCTGTTAGGTAGCTGTAGCACACCTTTAGAGGAGTGGGATTGATTCCCAGGACTGGCTGCTCTCTCTGGTGCTCGTGACTGGATAGGGTGAAACAGGTTGCAGCAGTGGAGTGTTGGGATGCTACCATACAGCCTTGTGTGTGAATTTATCCCTGCAGCCTTGCTCCAGACTGCCAGGCAGCTTAATTGCTTTTTGTTAGCAAGCTGAAGTATTCATTTGAAGGTGTAGAACTGTTTGTCTTTTTTTGCTGGCTTTGGCCTAATTACATATAACCCATGGGCTGGAATCAAGTTGTTAATATTCATCTGGTGTTTGCAGAGCCTCTGAACACAGGCACTCGATGTGCTCTGGCTCCACGTGCTGCATCTTTCTTCTGTTGTCAGACCAGACAAAGCTAATTCTCCATCCAAGGGCCCAACCCTGCAAGCCCTGCTCACACCAGTATTGTCATCAGGATCAGAAAGGTTAATCCTTTTCATCTTTGAAAGCCCAAGATGTCTCTGCAGCCCCGGGTACCACCACGGCCAAACCACTCGGGGTCTTATTCAGAGCAGAATTGTTACATTTAAGTAAAAAACAAGAGGAGCTTGCAATCCATAGATGACCTCTGGCTGTTTTAAGATATCCCAGGGAATTTGCTGATGTGATTTGTGGGTTTTTTTTGGTGTAGTTAACACACCAGTGCCCCACCTGACAGGTCAATGAGTCTCTGCTTGTTACGTGCAAAGCAGCTCAGCAAGGTTTGCTCTTGCTACATGATAGAAGTTGAAGTATCCAGATGGAACCACGGAGGCTGCAGCCCCCTGCATTATCCCATCTTTTATTTAGGCCTGACAGGCTCAATTAGCATTATCTTGTGCTTCTGCGTGGAGGGGACTCTTGTTAGAAAGGCAGAAGGAAAAAGTGAAGGATGAAGGAAGAGTGATACTGAGGAAAAAGCAGTGACAAACTAAAAGGGATTTATCCAGGAAGAGCTTTCCCCTGGCATGGAGCAATGGGAACGGCTATATTATTAAGAATTCTCTGAAAAGAGACTTCTTGGTTGCCAGTGCTTCACAGATTTCATTTTCAGCACTCTGGCAAGTAAGTGGATGCTGGTGATGCAGGGGAACAATATATGCACAACCCCATGCAGTGAAATGGGGAGCTGTCTGCTAACCTGGGTGCTGTGTTTCTGTTCGTGGTCCTGTCCTCCACAGCCCCTCAGCCACAACCCCTGCTCATTCTGGGGAGAAAACAGAAGCTGCTCTCCTGAGTCAGTGCTATCTGCACAGCTCAGGGTTCACTTAGAGACTCGAGTGATCTCATACATATACAATTCATCCTTTTCTTTGGGCTCAAGGACGTATTTAAATGATCAGGACATAGGATTTTTTTTCATTTTGGAG